AATCGTCGATTAGAAATTTAATCACAAGTGAGAGTTGAGAAAGAGTGAGAAAATAAATAAGAGTTACTGACAATGAGGGAAGGAGGAGAATTAAAGCCCCAAAAGAGGCCCCAATGGTCAATTCGATGATTGGGGTCAAACTTGACGCGATTTGGATTGGTATCAATTAAATTCTGACCGATATCGACCCATATCATTCGATACAACATGAGTTTCTTTCGTATCAATCGACACATCACCTATATTCGCCGATATTTAATCCTTTTCCTGTGTACCGCCCGAAACAAATTTCTCCAAGTATCGATCAACTATCAAACCTATACATATCGCCTGTTTTGTACCATTTCGAGCGATATGTCAAACATTGCTATTTGGTAAATATTTTCCTCTATACTAGATTGTCTATGGTATTTTATGTCCATAAGTACGTTACATTCTAGAAAACATGATCAAATGCAGAGGATAATCAAGAAAGTAATGGAGGAAGAGCATAGAGTAGAACAAGATAATTTGGTCAAGGGAATAAGAGTTTCTCTCAAATGTATTCACTAAAAAAACTTGCTACAACACATTTATTTCCAACTCACACTTTGAAGGTTACAAAGCATAGCTTAAGGGAAGACTCTCAACACAATGTACCATATTTAACCAAGGGGGTAAAATCCAAATTGGATTCTTCCCATCTCTCGAGTACCAAATTTTAATTTAACTTGTTTACTATCATGCAATGAACTTATTGCTATGAATGTGAACAAGTTAAATACTCTTAACATTCTTCCCCGCTTAAACTTATTCTTCTTGTACACCAAGTTTCTTTCGGAGATATTTGAAGACTTTAACTTTTAGGGGCTTTGTAAGAATATCAGTCACTTGTTCATTTGTTCTTGACGAAGTAGCTCTACATGTTTGTCCTTGACATGCTCTTTTATAAAATGAAACCTTGTGTTGATGTGCTTGGATCTCTCACGGTAGATTTGATTTTTGGCTAGGGCAATAGTCGACTTATTATCAACATCAATCTTGGTTAACTTCTCTTGTGACACATAAAGTTCTTGGAATAGTCTTCTTAGCCAAATTACAGGACAAACACAATAAGATGCTACCATATATTTTGCTTTATAACTTAATAGAGCAGTGATAGGTTCCTTTTTTGAAGGCCATGTGAATGCAGCTCCTCTAAGATAAAATACGAATATGGTTGTACTTTTTCAATCATTGTAGCTTCCTGCCCAAACACTATCACTATATCCGATGAGCTCTAAACTTTTAGATGATGAATAGAATATACCATCGTCAATTATCCATTTAATATATCATACAATTCTTTTGGTGGCCTTTAATGAGATGCCTTATGAGCTTCCATATATTTACTTAACAAGCCAACTCCAAATAATATATCGGGTTGAGCGTATGTTTAATATCTTAAACATCCAACAAGACTTTCGTAATAAGTTGGATTGATCAGTTTCCCTTCTCCTTACTTGGTTAGCTTGGTGCCACATTCAATAGGTGTATCAATCGATTGACAATGCCCAATTGTCACGGACAAACTTCTAAACAGGATGTTTGATGTAATGCTTATGTATGTCCGTGTATTTTGGTATGTTCATGCTCTGCACAACATGTAGAGGGACGGTCGAAGGCTTAATAGTCCCACTTTAGTTAAGTTGGTGGCCGCTTTAGGGTTGTAAATAAAGGTTGTGTCATGTGGACACGTGTGAGAGATTTTCGGTCTGTAATAGACTATTTTACCCTTTGTTGTGTAACTGTTCAGAGCTTGTAAAGTCTGTTTGTAATTTGCATTGTCTATGAAGTGTTTTCGGAGATGTTTGCTTGTGGATCCCGAGTGAGGCGTTTTCTCTATCTCGTTCTCTCTTTTGTGGGTCCTAAGGGACCATGGGAGGCTTCGGGGAGGTTGACCTTTGCGGACGGACACGCAAGGGTGCCGCACGACTTAGGCAAAACCAGCTAAGTCCGTGACACAATGGAGAACTTCTTCAATATCTCTTATGTATAGCTTGCTTGTGAAATAAACATCCCTTTATTGCTTTGTTTGACCTCAATGCCCAAGAAGTCATGAGCATAAGTCTATCATCTCGAACTCCTTTATGGAATGCTTGAATTCTTCGATCAAAAAAGAATTGTTGCCTGTAAATATTAGATCATCTACATATTGGCATATAATAAAAAATCTCTATGGTAATTAGGTTTCATGTAAAGCATGTTTATAAGAGCACTTAGAAAAACCACTTTGGGCAAAGTATGTGTCGATTCAAGAACTTCATACTCTTGGTGCTTGTTTAAGCTCATAAAAAACTTTCTTCAATTTGTATACCTTGTTTTCTTCTCAATATATTATGAAAGCAGAGGGTGTTGTATATAAACCTCTTTTTGAATATATTTGTTGAGAAATGTCGACTTGACATCCATATGAAAGACATCCTATTTCATTTAAGCAGTTAAGATGAGCAATCTTACTCTCTTCATCCGAGCTACTAGTGCAAACACCAACCAAGCTTTATGTTTCTCCACCTCTACCTCTCCCCTTGTATTTATCTTTATTTTGAATATTTATTTGACTCCAATCACCTTGTACCCTTTGATAAGTGTAGTAAGTTGCAATATATGATTTTTGTTAATGACATGCATCCCTTCATTCATAGCATTTCTCTATTTTTCTTCTTTATAAGCCTCTTTAAATGTTAATGGATTATGACATGCAAAAGACAAAACAAAGAATGCTCATCGTCATCAGTATCAATTCTTCGAGTCATCATATATCTCTTAGATCATCTTTGTCCTTCTTATAATTACACTACTTGAACCATATATTGTGGTTCGTATTCTGACTTGTCTCGGTGACACCTCATGAGAAATGTCTTCTCCATTTACTTATATTGTCTCATTTTCTTTTGAAACAGTATCTTGTTTTAGTGGTTCTTCATTGTTTGAACTCCATATTTGTCTTTCATTAAATTCAACATTTCTTGACATCATAATTTTCTTAGTGATAGGATTATATAATTTATAGCCACTAAAATTCTCACCATAACCTAATAAAATACATTTTAACCTTTGTCTTCAAGCTTTGTCCTTTTTTTCTTCTAGTACTTTGGCATAAGCAACACATCCGAAGAATCTTAGGTGGTCAACTATTAGCTTCTACAAGCTCGATACCTCTTCTAATGTAACATTGTCAATTTTTTTTGTCGGAAACCTATTTAGTAGATAAAATGCACAAGCAACAACATCTCCCCAAAATTTTTCTGGAGTCCATTAAGTGTATTTCGAATCATATTAAGAATAATCCTATTTTGTCATTCAGAAACTCCATTATATTGAGGGGTATAAGGCATGGTGCAGTGATGTATAATTCCATTGTCTTTACAATAACTTTCAAATTCATTTGACATGTATTCACCTTCTTTATCTATTTTTAAATATTTGTTTATATCCATTTTGTGTCTCAACCAATTCTTAAACTTTTTAAATTTATTAAACACTTCTTTCTTCTCTTTTAATAAATAAACCCATGTTTTGCCACTATAATCATAAAATACCTATTTTCGCCACTTGATGTAGTAGTGATAGGATGACATACATATGAGTGCACTAAGTGAAGCCATTGCCTTACTCTTCTTATTAGAAACATCTTCAATAGTTGCCTCTGCTACTTGCTTTATTCTTCACAAAGCTTGGTTGGACACTTAATCTTTGGTAAGCCTGCCACCATGTTATTCTTCTCCAAAGGCTTCAAAAGCCTTAAAATTTAAGTATTTGTATCTAAAAAGTCATGGTATAAAATCATCCACAATACTAACATTTAAACAATTTGTTTTGTTAGTATCCAATCGTAGAATAAATCAAGGATTTTAATTTTGAATAATACTGCCTGTATCGGGCGGTACGTACCGGTCCGCCAGTAGACCGGTACACGGACCGCTCGCTATCGGGCGGTACCGTCATTTGGGGTTGTTTCCGCCTCGTTACCGTCCTAAATCAGACAGTGACTAAGGGAAAAGAAAGAAGAGGGAGAAGGATGGTATTAATCGAGGGAAGAAACAAAAGGGAGAAGAAGAGAACCTGGAGACTTATGTCGGCGACTTCTCCTCATGCACGCGGGGAGAAGAATCCTCGATGTCACGGGGAGAAGAGAGGCGACGTCGCGAGCAAAAAAGAGGAGACGTTTCCTTGGCAAAAACGATTATATATATATATATATATATATATATATATATATATATATATAT